AGACCAAGGGGAACTGGCTAGTGCCTTGCATGGGGAATCCTTCCATGCCCCAGACTTGAATTTTTTGAAGAAAGAAGAGGAGGAGAACAAAAGAGCCAATATTTTCATGCAAGAGGAATCCTGCAGTGGAAACAACCTGGACGTTTCTTGCTTTTCAGGCATTCATGGTGTGCAAGAAATCACAGTAAGGTAAGTCATGATTATTGAGATTGTATGATCTGTCTTACCTCATTCCTTGTGGGTAATTTTAGCTGTTATGTGGCATTCAATCCAGCGCCCATGTAGCTATGCTGCTGGCTGCAGTGTCCATGAGGGCAGTAAAGTGTGCATCACTTTTGTTATGGTAATGAGTCAGAACAAAGAAAGAGTAAGTGCAACAAGGATTTTAATAAATACCATTTTCACTGGCATGTATGCATGTCAGGCAATTAATTATTAAGGCTGAAATGTATTTGGGTGGAAGTTTGGAGACTTTATTGATCTTCAATAAGCATGGGTTATGAGCATGACCAACTCGTATCACCTGGGGGAATGACCTATTTGTTCATGATATGGATGCCACATTACCTGGGAGCAGCATGTTTCTCCCATCACTAAAAAATGGGCATTCTCAGAACACTGCTTTGGATATTTGTGTGTTCCTACTCTTGGTGCACAAATAGATTGAGTTCATAAAGAAAAGAAAAGAAAAAAGGACATATTATAATTTATTTTTATTTTATTATAAATTATTTTTTATTTTTTAATTTTTCAATAATTTTTTACCACAATAGAAACATGGAATTTTACTGCTGAATGTCACAAACACTTATCTCAGACAGTTGAAAATTTTAGGTTGATAAGAAAGTATGTTTCTGAGAAATTACAACATTTTGATGAAATTTTTGTAAATATATTATTTAATTCTTATTATATTTCTCTTTTGATAACTTGAATGTTATATTGTGGCACTAATGTACACTGTGATTTGTAAAGATCATGCATGGTTTTTATTAACATAGACTTGTGATATTCTGCACATTATTTTGTGAATATTTGAATTACTAAAGATAATATTAGGTTTAGTAATTTTCAGTGCCAGTAGTTTTTTAATCAAATACTTTCTCTCTTGTGAAGGACAAATACGAAACTGGCCATAAGTTTTTGAGTATTGATAAATGCAGAGAGTATTATTATTATTATTATTATCATTATTATTATTGTTATCATTATCATTATTATTGTTATTATTATTATTATTATTATTATTATTATTATTATTTTTATGAATGTGGATTGATGTGCATGATAAGTTTTAACCCAGGAATATTTTGAATGAAGAATTTTCACATTCATATCATTTGTGCAATAATACTGTTCATTATTTTTTTTACAGCTTCCTAATTTTCAGGGATCTTTACCTATGCATTGGAATTGGTCTATTATGTTGCTGCTATTTTATTTTCCTTTGTCATATTTAACATTCCTTAAAATTATGGTATTGTGTTATGCAGGCCATCGTGGATTGAAAGCCCAGAGAAATTGTTGCTTGGGCCTGGGAACAGGATGTTGGTGGAAGATTATCTCAAGTTACGCAGTGAGGCTCTCGGCTCACTTGGGGATGAGGATGGGCTGGATCAGGAAAGGGTGAGATTAACATTGTGCTGTAGTAGTACGGTGTCTGTGTCTGTGTCTGGAGAAGGTCTAAAGTATCTAACTCACTATTTTGAAGATGAGGTTGGAATGGAGAGTTCCAAGGTGTATCGATTTTGAATTACTCATTGTCGGCAAAAGATAGAATGTTGAGTATGGTCCAGAAGTAATGTATTACCCTTTTTAGATTTTTCAAACCGAAGAAACCTTGGTTACGTGAAATGACAGGTTTATGTACTTGTTTAGTTGGTTTAAACATGGGGCATGGACTTAAAACACAAGCACACAAACTCACTTGCTCACTCACTCACCTGCATTTGCCCACTCATGAGTCACAGATTCACCCATTATCACATTTGTATACACACACAGGTAAACATTTATTTATTTACCTACATATTTGTACTTAACCCTGTGACTGTGTTAGGTGACTGTAGTCTTAATTCTAAACTATTATTTATGATGCATTTTAGAAAGACTTTTTTTGTGAGTCTATATGCCTTCTAGCCTGCTTTGCACAGGTGCTGCCATTTGTGCTCATTGATTATTTTCTCCTCTTTTCATTCAATTTGAAATTGCCTTTTTGAAATATTTTACAGTCAAACATGAAATCTTTAATGTCCTTCCCAACAAGAAAGGCAGCAAGAATGTTCTGATTAAGTTTTTAATATTTTTTGCTACATCAAACATATAGGGGAATACATATGGATCCTAGGCTGTGGTCAAAGAAATTCTGTTTGCTTTTACTTACATGATTGTTTAATGTATCCACTGATGTATTTAACCAGATCAACACATGAGAAAATGATATCCTTGTATTTTCAGCCAAACTTTGGTTGGGGTGATGCTGTCCATTCTCCTCCATCATCTGGGGAACCCTTGCCACTTGTGGATGTCAGTGGCAGGGCAGAAGAACAAGAGCATTCCACAATGGGTGATGGTAAGTCATGGAGCAGTAAATGGTATCATCTTTATCATTACTGTGGCTTCTTCTGCTTCTCTCTACTCAAAAGAAAATACATGTCTTTAATTCCATTTTGATATCTTACAGGAACTTCAAAGAAAAATGCAAATGTATCGACATCAAACCAAAGTATCAGCAGTGACAAGCAAGAAAATTCAAGTTATCACTCTACCAGCCACTCAACATTACAGGATTCCTCAAGTGACTTTTCAGAGGGAAGCAGTGGGAGGTCAAGTTCTGGGTCAGACACATTATGCGACTCACAGATGGAAGCCGACTTGGATATAAGGTCACTTTCCCTACATCAGCATCAAGGTAGGAACCTGTCAAGTGCCTCAAACCAAGAAACTGCTGATGAGAGTTGTGTTGATGATGATGCTTCGATGGAGACAAGTGGACAGAAGAACATCCATTATTCTGGAGATTCAGGGAAGTCGCATATGAATGGTAAAGAAAACAGTAAACTTCAATTTGAGAGGAAAAAGAACTCACAACAGCTGGAGAGGACACTAAATGAAATCACAGGACCCATGGATTCAGAGCAGATCCGTGCACTTTTGTCTGAAGCAATTGCTTGTGACAATCCCCAAGTACTGGTAGAGAAGATAATAAAGATATCACAGGAGAAGATGGCACTGCACAAAACAATGGATGTTAGTGACTTGGATACCAGTGTTGATGTCTTGGAACTGAGGAAGCAGCGTGAGGCTCTGCAGATGAAACAAAAGGAAAGATTCTTGCAAAAGGTCCAAACAGCTGACAAAGAAAATCTTGGAACAGAAACTCATCAGGTAGGAAGAGATGCTTCTAAGAAACCATTAAAGATGTTGCATGGCTCCAAGGTAGATAATATGGATGGCATACCACACAAACACATGGAAAAATTAAAAGCTAAGAGAACAGATTCAGTTCCTTTGGAGACCATAAGCCAAACTGGAAAACATCGTCTGCCATTCATTTCAAAACATTTAGCCACTAATTTAGGGGATTCACATATTGATGAGTCAATTAAGATTGCTCCTTACAAGTCAAGAATTTTAGAGGACACTCAGAAGCTGCAATTTGCAAGCTTTCACGATAATACAAACAGTGATTTCGATGCTTCCACCCCATGTGTGCCACGTTCAAAGTCCAGGTCTAGTACCCCAAGTCAAAATGGAATGGGGGCAAGAGAGGCCGACAGCATCAAACCAAGTGTCAGTGAGCAGAGACCCAAACCAAGGATGGGATTGTCATCAGCACATCATAATAAACTTCCATTGAAGGGTAAAGAGGGAGGTCATGTCAATGGCACGTATTTGGGACATTTACAAAGGCCAGAGAAAAATTCGGCTCTCGGGACAGAAGGTCGGGCTTTGGGTAAGGTTCCTCCGAGTGTACGGTCTACAAGTGTGCCTTCTGGACTCCATGCCATTGGTGTAAATGGTGAAGGTGTAGATGCCACTTCAACTCAGCAGATGCATTCAGCCAAAGGCCTCCGACAACACTATTCACAGGAAGATCTTAACTACAATATCCAAAGTAAGACCATGAAGAGTTTGTCTTTATATATACTGTATTTTTATTTTTGTATATTTATATTTTTCACATCATTATACCTTTCCATTTGAATTGATTCATTCTTTCATTGACTTTGAATTTTAAATTTGCTTAGCCTACTACATGCCTTGAGAAGTCTTAGCTTGAAATATAGAAAAGGTTTTAACATGTCAAAAAGTCTGCTAAGCAATTTATTAGAAGTAATTTAAGAAAAGATTTGCAGTTTAAACTTACAAGAAAAATTGGAAACATGTATCTGATATAGAAATATTTTGAATTTTTGCACATAATCTGAATGTCTAAACAGGTGGAAATGATTTGACTGTGAGCTTGCCCAAGAAGGTGGTTTTCCCAGGGGTCTGTGTTCTGGGTATTGCATCAGAGGTTACGATGGTATTCCATAATCCTAAGCAGCGTTGGGTCCAGTTGTCACTGAATTGTGTAAAGGTCAGTTTTATTCAAGTTTCCTTTTACGCATTCTGTTTAAATGGTAGGTCCTCATGAAATTAAAGAAGTCATCCTTAGTGACGTCCAAGATAGAATTTCAAAGAGTTATACTGTAATGATGATATATAAGGAAACACTATTACAGGAAAGCTTGAATAGAAGCCCAGTAACAACAGAAGGTCTGATCTTCAAGCCGTCGTACTTTGTAGAGCCACAAAGTATGTGTCAAATCCAGCTGAAGCTATGCAGTCAGCAAGCTGGGTCACTTGAAGCAGTGCTGGAAGTAAAAGTATCTGATCTTACCAAAGGCTCAACTATTCCTTCTGCCACTATGGGTGTCTCAGTCCATAATGTTCTTGTCTGTGCACAAATTGAGGAACCCCATGTATGTTTGATTGTAGAATCTTTGTTTTTGTAATCATATTCTTATAATCTGTTATGTGAAAAGATGAATTACAAACACTGTCAGTACATACTGAGCTAAATGTACAGCTATTAGTGATGATATAATGGAACATTCAGCATTAAAGTCAATTTTGCTTAATTTAGTTAAAAAAAAATCTAGAATCTACATTGTGATAATAGATTAGTAGGTCTTAATATAGTGATTTTTGTATATAGGGAATTAGATTGTAATGATTCAATATACTGACTAAAGTATAATCTTACAGGTCTTACTGACCAGTGGTGGCATGGAGGCAATAGACTTTGGTATTGTACCAGAGGGCTGTTCAATTACTAAGGAGGTAATGGTTATTAACCAATCACACCAATCCCTTCCAGTCATCCTAACCCTTCAGCAGGTGAGTAGCTTTACTCCAAACACTAAAGAAAATTAGTCTGGCCACCTTCTGGGATCAGAAAAATAAGACATTGGTACCAAACTTGCATTCATCAGCATAAAATCTACAATATTCAGTCCTTTCATTCATTTGTTTCTCAAGGTTGCTGCAACGTCCCCCATCTTTTATTGGACCGGCACAACAGATGAGCGCATAAAGGTTGTGTCAGCTACACATGTCGCCTGCGAACTTCCATCCGCCAGCACAGAGCATGGCCCAATCCCTATGGTCATGAATGTCACACTCAAGGCACCACATCTTGACAAAGTTAAAGGTAAGAAATCAACTTAGTTAGTATTTTCCCTTGTATATCTGAAAGATCAAATCTAGTGCCTGTGTGTGTATTTACAAATAACTGTGTATTACTGTCAAAAAAAAAAGAAAAAAAAAAATCCCATTTCTTGAGCTGATAAAAGGCTTTATGTCCATACAGTGGATGAAAATGGAGTGGTGGGGTTAAGGAGTCAGATTCAGGTTGAACTTGACTCTCCTGATCAGTCCACCATCATTGTTGCAGCCATGCCTATTAAGGTAAGAGATTCTGTGCCTGAAAGCAAGATTACTTTCATGGTGCATTATTATACCAAGTTATACTAAGTTTTCATAAAATTTAGTATGGCTGTTTTTTTTTCTTTCTTTCTTTTTCTTTTTTGTTTAAAATGTTTAAACTTGTATAATATATAATAAAATTAATTTGATCATGCTTTATATACATGACCTTGATGTTAATTGTATAAGAATATATCACAGTAAGAAATAGAAGTTCAAGAAGAATAGGCAGTGATCATAAAATTTGATAATATACAAAATAAATAGTTTTCTAAGTGGAGATGCTTCTGATATAATCCCTTATGCCTCTGGGTTACTCTGCCAGGCTCAAGTGGGTGTGGTGAAGTTACAGTCACTCCGTGCTGCAGAGCCAATGATGTTGGAGACTCTGTCCACAGAAACCTGTACAGCTACAGTTCCTCTTAGAAATTCCTCTAGTTTTCCTCTGAGGATCTCTTTGATTCCTCGTGAACACAAAGAGGTCTTCAGCGTTGTTCCTGCCGTCATAACTATTCAGCCTCACTCCCAAGTTTCTCCTAGTCTTGTGTTTTCACCCAAAGGTCAAGTAGGAAGAATGGAGAGGTTAGTGTTATTACTTTTTTTTTAGTGTTTACTTTCTCACTGAGAATCTTTGATATCTGAAATGGTGCTGACATATATATATATATATATATATATATATATATATATATATATATATATATATATATATATATATATATATATATATATATATATATATAGAATAGAATATAATAGAATATAAATAATATATAATACATTTTCCCCTTTCTGATAGTGTGTTACTGATGCGTATAGAGCCAGATGGAATGGAATTTGAGGTGTCCATGATTGGTATTTCAACTGCAGCTGTTAAGAAAGCTCCAGAAGTTGCCAAACTATTGACCCACTCGTCTCTGACAAGAGCCACAAGTGCCCCTCTTCCACAAGCAGTATGGACATTCAACTCATTATTTATAGACCATTCATAGTAATTGCAATAATTGACTAAATTCATCATAAATAGTAGGAACAGAGTTCTCTTCACTATGGCTAACAGTATCAAGATTTCCCAGAGGATATGGTATAATTTTTTACTATTTAGAAACTGAGAAACTTGATAAGGATTAATTAAAAGAAAGCAGACCATATCATGATTAAAAGAAAAATACTCATTCTTGTTTCCAGTCGCAAGTTAGCTTGGCCTCAGCCTTGGAGAGCACCAAATCCCGACTTGTGTTCGGGACTGAACGCATTGGAGGGAGAGCATCACAAAAGATTGTGTTGCGGAACAATTGTACTACAGAGGCACTCAACCTCATCCTTGGCATCAAAGGCAGTAAAGCTTTTCAGGTTAGCCTTTGGAGTATGTTTTATCACCATTATATCAGTATATGTAGTCACTGGTATTATGAGACTTTCTTCAAATGATTTTAGTATTAATTTTAAAACTTTATTTTTTTGACCGCTACACAATTCAAATTAACATGATGAAGGGATTGCAATTCTTCAATAAATTTCCAAAATGAGGGATTAATAAATACAAAAAATTGGGTGATCACCCAAGATGGCCATCATGTAATTGATATTCATCAGTATGAATTAGCAGGGTAAAGAATCAGTGATCTTGGTTTTATTAAAAGTGGATTCTTGCGACTTTGATTATTATTATTATTATGATTCTTCAATTTCTTTCTTTTATCATTGCATTCCACCCAATAAAGAAATTTCATATTCAGATATGTGAGTATGGTGGTAAAGAAGGCAAAGCGAAGATGGATGTTGTTCTAAAACCCTGCCAGGAGCTAGCATTCTCCGTCTTCTTTTGTCCAACAACTGTGGAAGCCTTAAGTGGAACGCTTGTATTTAGACCACGAGGCTTGACTGAGCCCATCAAGTATCAGGTAGACTACTATGACCTTTGCTTTCTAAGTTTGATATGTTAGAAGCCAAGTGTTTTGTGTCTTTGAAATACATATTTTTGAAGTATGAGGAATTGAAGGAATGTGCATACAGGTTCTTTTCTTGTTTACATCTTTGATATTGTATTAGGAGAATTCATCTGACCGTTAGAGTAAGACCACTTAGTGTAATATTTTATTGTTAAACTAAACTTTTTTCCTTTAATTTAGACACTACCATCCCATATACTACTCTGAGAAATTAATCCGTAAATCAATATCCAGATTCCCCTGCAAGGATATGGTGGCCAATGTGAGCTTCATGTGCCTGATTTCCCAGAGAGTAAGGCTTTAGTGATCAGCGAGTTGGCACCAGGTCTGCCAACCATGTTCAACACTGCTTTTGTGAACAAGGGGGATCGTGCCATGTTTGTCAAAGTCCAGGTGTTCTCAGGTAAGAAGTGAATTGATTTATCATGAAAGTTAGAACATCTCAAGGTCAATATTAGACAGAATTATATTTTTTTTAGAAAGAGGGGCTGTCTGTCATGTTTTTCAATAAGGGATTGTTACCCATAAAAAAAAAATTTTTTTTATCCTCCAAGAAAATATCATTGTAGAATGGAACTGCCCTTTTTTGTGAACTGTCTAAAGTCCTTTGAAGTCAATGTTAACCATATTGCATTAGCTCTTACCCTAAAAAAAATGATAGTATTAAAAGAATTTCTCATTTTTCTTCACTTTGTTTGCTCCAGATGATAAGTATACACAGGGGGTTGCAGGCAGCCAGATAACTGTTCAGCCTTCAGAATTCATCATCAATCCCCATGAAAGCCGTGATATTTTTGTTGTTGTTATGGGCACAGAAGCTGTCCTTGCAAAGACACCAGGCTGTATAGGTTACCTCCAGATAGTGTCAGGTGATGAAATACTTCGCAGGCGGTTTCGCAGGTAAGTAATTGTTCTCTGATTACTCTAAATTTCTTTTTTGCACTACTCTGAATCAGATAAATAGAGAACAGTAAATAACAAAGCTATTATCATCATCATCTATATGTACATGTGTTACCATTTAGAATAATGATAAATTATTGTAATTATTTTCTTCTCTTGGACGACTATGTTACCAGGTTGAAGAACAAGGAGGTGAAGGTTCGTCGTCTAAATGACCCTGCGCTTGTGAAGATTGACTGGGATGTGTTCTACAGTGGAGAAAAGGAATCCCAGAGCGAGGAGGATTGTCTCCCACCACAACCAGAAGATGCCTCCATTTTCTTCAATTCTTGCTCCAAGACTCAGGTAAATTTTGCATTCATGTAAAGATTTGATTTTGTCTGTTTTTTATTACTTGAGAAAACCAGAAACTATTGTATTTAGTTTCAAGCTAATTACTGTGTATATAAAACTGTTATCAGAACATTGGTAGTATAGAAAGACTAATGAAGCTAAATGTTTTGCTGCAGGTAGAGTTGCATGGAGAAAGACAAGTTAATGAAGATGCTTCCAGTACTGTATTTGCTTGCCTTGATGCTGAGGAGACAATCACATCAGTGACTGATCTCACAGTAGCAGCAGATAGGTAATATAAGACTTCAGTTGTTTATCAATTGGTGAAGATGATAATGCATTTTTTCCCATAGTTTCCACATCTTCACTTTACTCTAGTAAATATATATAAATTTGCATACATGCAGAAATAAATGTAAGATAATATTTATATTTTTAAATGTGTAATTGCATAACATAACTACTTTTTAAGGGAAAATTAAATTCTCTTTATTTTGTTGTATATCTCTGTACCCCAAAGAGGGATTGGTTAGTTTCAAGAGCTTACTAAGCTGACAAAAGATCTCTGGATTCATTTGATGAATGCATTGCTCATAATTTAAGAAAAATTGATTGATGAAGTAATCCACTAATAAAATGTATTCTAATTGGTAGGACTGTTGAAGCTCACTCCCCACCCGTACAAGGCAAGGGAACAGTCCTGAGTGGATCGACTGGGGAAGATTGGTCTTCGTCCAGGCCAGCCCCAGTAGCTCGTGCCTCTTCGGCTGCCTTTACCTGGGATGTCTTTCCATCTGCCTTGACCATCCCTGCCTCAGACACTTCAAGCCACACCTTCTTTGTTGTTAACTTTAGCAACACAAGACAAATGTTTGAGGTAGTATATAGTTTGGTAATGGATGTTTTAGGTGATAATGATATTAGTGAATGTTATAATGTGTCTATGTATGTAATATGAAACTGTTTTCAGTTATTTTCATCTTGCATTTTGTTGATTCTCAAACAGGTAACTTCAGCTTGTAAGTGGCTGCATATTGAACCAAGAGAAGCCATTCTACCAAGCTTGAGTTCAGTCCGTGTTAACATCAAGGTTATTCGTTCCGGTCTGCCTCAGCATCTTGTTAATCCTATAACTCAGTCCATTCAGGTTAGTCTGCAAAATTCAAGATTAAGCCTTAACCTGTTACTCCTTTCACTTTACGAAGGTAATCAGGTGCTAAAGAAATTTTGATAATTAAAACAGCTAATTGATATGGTTTTATTGTAGAATGAAAAATAATAAAAAATGAAAAAGTAAGATATTGTCATATCATGACTATTTCCATAATATTGTCAATATTCCACTTCTGTCTACTACTCTATATTGCTAACCTTAACAAGGTTCAGATGGATATAAATGGAACTCTAATTTATACTCCAGAATTGGCTTCTCATTTAGTCTAATGTTGGAAGATTAATCTTGTTCATGCTAATTCTAGTTTGAGTACCATCAGCTGGGATGTTAATGAAACTTGTGACTTACTGGTACTGACATTATCATCTTCCCACAGGTTATGTGTGAAAATGAGTGTCACAATGCTAAAGTAACAGTTCTTCCTGATGGTGATGGAAGCAACACGGGTAAGGCAGCTTCATCAGGAACTGCTGTGGCGTCAAGTAAACAAGAGATGTCGGATCCACATTCTGGCGAGTACAGTGGAAAGAAGTTGCCTGTTCCTGACAGTGAAGAGAAATCATCAAATGAGAAATCTCTTACTACTGTAGAGCAAGTTAGTTCAGGGTAAGTAAAAAATATGCTCTCAGCACACATACTAAAGTTCTTGTAAAAAAATAATAATAATAATAAAATAATGAATTAATGTCTCTCTTCACAGTAGGCATACATATTTCTTCAAATATGTGAAATTAATTGATGCACATCAATGTAAGGTTTGCATATATTGTATAACGTCTGACATACACTCAAATTCATTGATATATCACTGTTCAGATATCAGAGGAAATCAGCTTCAGGCAGTAGTCTCAGCAGAGCTGCAATGATGAAAAGGACTAGCAGCAGTAATAACAAGTTCCAGAATGATAGTACCCAAGAAAGAAGCTCAGTAAAGAGTATGGTGGAAGTTGTGTCAAGCTCCATTGCCTTCCCCGACACGAGAAACTCAGATGAAAATTTTGTGAAGGTGAAATTGAGAAACCATGATAGTGTTGTTCATACTGTGAGTATTTTTTTTATTTGATTTGATTATGAGTAGAAGTAGAACAGATGTTTATATATATATATATTCTCTCTCTCTCTCTCTCTCTCTCTCTCTTTTCTTTTTCTTTCTTTCTCATTAAACCAAACTCTAGGTTGGCAGGTTTCATGATGTAAACCCATAGGGAGTAGAATGTCAATAACTCATGTTAATTTACAATTAGCATTACTTACTGGTATTATATCCTTGACTCCCTTTTCTTCTTTTTACTTGAGAATAACTTTTTAAAGGAGAGATTAAATGTTATTGCAAGTACACATTTATATAACATATATTTTACCTGTATAATGTATATAATTTTATATTGATGATATGAAGGCTCAGTATTTAATACTTCTATATTTTTTTCTGCAGATGAATAAACCATGTAACAGAAATTTATATAAAATCTTTTAATTGCAGGTAAGAGCTGAAGTTACACAAGCACCCTTTGCAGTCCGCCATAAACAGTTTCAGGTTAAGGCAGGTCACTATGTCAGTGTACCAGTTTATTTCAGACCACAGACACTGGGGTTGTTTACAGGACAGCTGAGCCTGTTTGTTGTTGAGGAGCAAGTGTTACATACTGTTCAGCTTTCAGGCAAAGCAGTGTAATTTAACTTTTTTTTTTTTTTTTTATAAATTTTCATTGAAGAATTTTATGTCTGAAGCTTCCTTAAAATTTAGAATGTTACGTTTATATCATTTTTGGCCAAAGGGTCTATGCTTGCTAGTTAAACCTGCACAGGTATCCACCAGTGCCTTTTTAGTTACTTATCAATACTGTGATATATAATAGATTCTGATTAGGAAATTTAAAGCAAGGCTGTGGATTTGGGTAGCTGTAGTGTTAAGGCAAGGATCATGTATCTTATGTATTGTTGTATATTTTCTTTGCTAGTAGTATTGCAACATATTAATGTCCATATAATTTAGTGCTTTCCGATTTCTTATTCATTAAGATTTTCATTGTTGATTGATAAAATATAAGGTTTGTCAAAAAAATCAGATATATTACACTTCAGTTTATATGTGCCATTTTATAAATTTTACCATTATTAATATATTCAATAAACATTATACACATTTTTTTTGTTTTTTCCTGCCTTCCTGAAGAATGTTGAAGAAGCACTTAGAGATTGATCATAAATTATTTTGGTGGACAGCAATATTTCTTTTCAAGCTTTACCATCATAATAAACTGGACTTGTCCCCTAGGAGAGTCATTAAGTAAATTTGTCATTTTTCTATTAATATGTTCTTTATTCTGTTAGCCCCTGCTACAATGTTAATCTCCCATTATCATTTTTGTTACTTTTAGCTACATATAAAATTAAAATCATGCAATGAGGGGTGACATGAGCAAGAGATGTTATATCACTACAGTTAATAGATGCTAATTTCCTGAGACTCCTTCCATACGAGATTTTGTCTCTAGTTTGTTTCACTGGGAAAGATATCAAATGGTTCCTGAGTGCAGTACCATCCCTTCCCTCCTTACTTAGCAAACTGCATTATAAAATTTTACCAAGGGCATTGGCAACCCACTATTCTGAGTCAGTGTAAAATTGTGTCTCTGGGTTTGACCCTCTGGCCACTGGATATTCTGACAGGAGATTCAAATGCCAACTCCCTCTGAATGAAGGACTACTTAAGGGAAAATAAATTACCAATCCTGTTCTGTTTATCTGCCAGTACACCAGCCACACAATGAACAGGTAAAAAAAAATCCATAAAAATGGAAGTATATCAAATGCTATGGTAATATACAATTCACACAATACTAAACTTTTTTGGAAACATTAGTGTTAGAAGATAGGGGGGAAAAAATCAAACCTGAATAGAAGTTTAAGACAAATTTATTAATTTATTTCAAATTATAAAATGTGACTGAGAAGGAAAAAAGGGATCAAAGAGGGAAAAACATTTATAGTTCAGCCAAATGATAACAGTTGTACCAATTATATTGCTCTTATGCTCACTTCCCCCCCCAATCCCATGCTCATTGTTGCCAGGGGGGGGGGGGCTTAGGAGGCGGAGACTGAGGCCCAATGTAAGGATCAGCCCTGCCTTGTACCTCAGTCCTCGCCTTAACTAATTTTGCAAGGTATTTTCTTCTCTCCCTTTCCTTCTCCCTTTCCTTTTCCTTCTCTTCTTCTGTTCACTTATCCTGATTGTTAACTTGTTAAAGTGTTTTCACCACAATACTTTACCATAATGCTGTGTAACCTTTGATGTCTGGTACATTTGTTTGTTTTGACCACTGCCCATTCTGGTAATCCACAAACATTACCTTACTGAACCAAAAAACTTTACCTTAGATGTTGATGTGGCAGAAAATGTTCAATAATTAGAACAATTGGGCTCACCTGATGTACCAGTATAAAAAAAAGGCCTAATTAAAATAGAATTTTTAAGCTATTTTCTATTTTTGAATGATATTTTTGTTAAAACCATTTCTAAAATAAAAACTGCAAAAGCAAACTTCAATATTGTTCCATGTTAGCATGTGTGCAGTTTAAACAATATTTTTGAAGAGATAATATAATGCTTTTTCTATGGTTACCAAAAATAAATATAAAAGTTTGAGGATTTGATCTAACTACTCAATGGATAAAGATAATAATCCTAGATAACTATGTACTGGCATCAGTATGAACTAGAATTTATCACAGTTAATAGTTACATATATATTTGGAATGTTTCATAAGTAACAACCATTATTCTGGTAATACAATATATAAGGCTATTTAACAACCATTTTCAAAATACCAGTTATTTAAAGAGGCACACTGGTGATATTATCAAGTCTTGGATATTCAATGATTAAAGTAAATATATTGCATTATCATCAACAAAGCAACTCTCTTGATTGGAAGTGTGCATTTCAATTTCTGTGAAAGGGTACAAGCCTAAAAAGTATTATTTTCCATTTAGAATGGTTACACAAGTAATTATGTCTAAGGTATGACAGATTAGTCTGAAAAAGGCTTATTTCATAAGTTTGTGACAATATTGTAAATTAATACAATTCACCTGATTCTAAGAACATTAATGTAATCATAAAAGAATAACCAATCAAGAATGTTAATACTGTAAAAAAAAATTATAGCCTTAGGCATAAAAAAGATCATACGCATCAACACTTACTTTGATTTACTTATCATATTGAGACCAATTTGTGTAACTTTAAAAGCCATGTCTAGAGGAGCAAGCATGAACTGCAGGCATGACCAAAGTGTGATGTCAACAGCAGGCAAGTTACACTACTCATTAAAGAGTGGAAACGGCTGTTTATCTGTTAGTTTGCCTGCCTCTGACATCACTTTTCTGGCATGCACATTTATCATGTCCTTTCAACTGGACATGGGCTTAAGAAATCCCTTTCATATTGTATCATAAAAGACTCTTGTGAGATGATATAATCCTTTATACAATTTTCCAAAAGCTTATTTGTGTGGAATGTCAGACAAAGTATCCTTAATTATGTTGTGCAGTTCAAATTTCTTCCCTGAGCACAGACCAGCGTAGTCATCTGAGTTAAGGTCAAAAGTCATCACCCCAGCCGCACCTGAAGTTTTGACCCATTCAGCCTGTAGGATGAAAATGATTAATACTATGACTTCAATAACCTTTTAATATATATATATCCTCATGCATAACAAAGTGTAATCAAGCTACAATCTGAGCTGACTAAATGACGATGATAAAGATACTGAAATGAATATGAAAACGAGTGACCTCTGACAATACAGACAGAAGGACCACACCTCACCTTGGCTCTGATGCTTGCAGGATTTTCATAGGAAACCCAATCTGTTCCTCTGGCAGCATAGGGTACTTTACTCTCCCAATCAAAATAGGATGTTGCTCCCTCTTTCACAAAGATGCATGCTTCTGTGTAAGTGAGAGATCCTTCCAACATTCCAGTCCCAACTGCTGGAGCTCCAACATTATGCCATGCACTGCTCAGCAGCCTGTCAACAGAAAGTTATTCCCCCTTTCACCTCTTTAAAAAGTATTAATGCTTCAAGAGGAGTATTCAGAAAGCTCATTTGTTGTCATACAATCACTATGTTCCTCTACGTCATATTATCCATAATTGTGCATTTTAGATATTGTATCACCCCTTTTTGAGACATTTTTGAGGCATATTCTTGCTCTCTTTGTCTCAATGAACCCAATAAAAATCAATTCCTCACCTCCATGTGCGTCCATAAGTGGGTATACCAACCATCAACTTTTCTTTAGGCATTCCCTTTTGCAACCAATACTGGGTTGCCCACTCGATATTCAGTGTGGAAAAGTATCCAATCTCATCACTCCGTTTTGCCAGGGGAGCGTTGTGACCAGTGAAGGGTAAGTAAGACTGATACATGTGGTAGTCATAGCCCATAATGGACACAAAATCTACATATCTGAAAAGAGCAGATGTAATTATATTTATATCACATGAGGAATAACCTACAAGCGTTTCTGCTTATTCATTTGCACTACCACTGACCATATTTTAAGGAGTGGCAAATAAAACTTTGCTCTTTTCCTATTCCTAAGAAATACTGAATTACTGATATTATTTAACAGACTTAATGCATCGGCAGCAGATAGATGTACTATTCACAACAGTTTTTTGGCGTATTTTGTTGCACACAGAAGGCTTTACAAATGTAGAGCTGCCAAGGAGTCAATTGGCAGGCCCTGGTGATAGTGCCAGATTTCCCCATTCCTTGAATTTGTAGGATTTATATTATCTTTATGCTATTAATATTGCAATTAATTTGCTGTTAGTATTATTGTCATTACTTGTTGTTAAATTGTTAATAACAATAAAAAGATTTTTTGGTGAAAATTAAGGAAAAGGGTAAATAGACAAGTAGGCAGGACTAATTTTCTTGACTAAGCACTTGTGAAGCCACCTCTGTGTAAACAAATGATAATCAAAGTTACAGTGGTCATGGTATTATGTCATGCCATCTGTGACCAGTGGGTTAATATTTTCACTTGGTCTGTTTTGAATTTGATAAAAATGTCTTCCAACAGTCAAGTATATTTGACTTGGAAAGTTCTCAAAATGGAATTCTGTATATGTAATATCTATTTGTGTAATCTTGTTATTATCAGTTACTAAAATCATTAGCAATATTTACATTTCTATTATTATATCTATTTCTATTACTATTACCATAACTATTATTTACAACTTCTACAGTTAGCATTACTACTAGCATTAAAAAAAAAAAAAAAAAAAAAAAAAAAAAAAAAAAAAAAAATCATGTAGTAATAACAGTATATAAAAATTCTCATACATAAGAGCAGGATTACACAAGTTATGGGAATTTTTGTCTATTATGTATGTCTTCGATTAGTTTCAAATTTATTTCTGTGACATGCTCCCATAAAAAAAGTGGAGAAGATGAGTAAAGTAAGAATGTAAAGGAATACAACTACTAACATAAATACACATACCTTGAAAAAAGTCTTGCATTTCACTACTCCATCTCCTTAAAGCCACAACATTGTTTTTAAAACAATTATCATAGATCATACTGCGTTGTTATCATCATCATCATCATCATCATTATTATTATCAATGTTGTTGTTTTCATTATAATATTATTATTATTATTTACTTACTTTTTAATTTTTTTTTATTATCAACATCATCATTATCATCATAATCATGATCAGTACTAGTATTGTTATTAATGAACTGTATTCATTGCAACAAATATAGAAAAGGTATGAATCAGAGTGAATATTTTCATAACACAAGAGATGTACTTTACTGGTTTTGAATATATCTTTGTCAGAAATACATATTTCTGAAAAAGATATATTCAAAACCTGTTATGTACATCTCTTGTATTGTGAAAATATTCATTCTCATTCATAGCTTTTCTACTGTTATTCATGTTTTTGTTTTTGTTATTATTGTTATCATTATCATCATTTCTATCAATAACATTAATATTTTTGCCATCATTAATATTAAATTGTCATCATCATTAATATTAAATTGTCATCATCATTAATTGTAATATTATCATTATCATTTATTATTATTATTATTGTTGTTTTTATGGTTGTTGTCATTATTATTATTAT